TTATCTGTTCCATAAAGGTGAGTTGTTGTACAGTTGTAGGGAGCATTATCTGTTACATAAAGGGCGGCAGTAGCTCAGTTGGTAGAGCATTCGCCCACTGATCTGAAGGTTGGCGTTTCGATTCCAGCTCTCGACATAAAAAACATCATAGATTGAGCGGTCATATCTACTGACCCACAGGTTGGCTGGTGTGATTCCAGCTCCCACAGATGAATGCTGTTGTTGTGTCCTTGGGCAAGACACTTAACCCACCTTGCCAAAGTGTCTGCGTACACTGGTGTGTGAATGGGTGAGTGGTTCCTTGTTGTAAAGCGCTTTGAGTGCCTTGAAGGTGGAAAAGCGCTATAGAAAAATGTGACCATTTACCATTATTGTACAGTTGTAGGGAGTATTATCTTTTACATAAGGGTGAGTTGTTGTACAGGTGTAGGGAGTATTATCTGTCCCTCTATAGTCTGGTGCAGTGGTGAGCAGGAGTGTCCACGATGGAGAGCAGTTTGTCCAGTGTCCTCCTGTCCATCAAAAACTGTGGGAAATATCTCCAACTCGCAGCCATTTAAATTTTTAGACATACAAACAAAAAGTCAAACCTTCCATTTCCCCATGGTCATTGTTTGATCATATGCGCAGGTTGTAGTACAGGGTATCTGTGGTCTGGGTGTGCCGGCTGGACTCCCCTGTGATGATGATGATGTGAGGTGAACAGAATGGCTTGGGGCTAATTGGCCTTGTCTGGTCTGGTCTGTGCTCTGTGGTCAGCCTGACTGCACATCTCCAGACAGCATGAGGTGTGGAGCCTGTCATCTCAAACACACACTGTGCACACAAAAGCACCAAAAATTCACAGAAGTGGCTATGCTTTGTTGTATCTCTGTTGCTTTTCCTTTAGGTGAGGCTCATTTATATCTGTCACACCTGTCCTTCTTGTATATACTTGTAGTTTAATGGGATCAAGGAGGATTAGGCCTGTCATGATAATACATTTTGATGACAATAAATGATAATATTGAAAATTTTGTGATGCTGACTCAATAACCCAAGAGCAGATTTAAACCACAATGTACAGTTTTTTTTGTTTGTTTGTTTTTATCATGAGCAGCAAAAAAACAGACATAACCACTGCTATTTGCAACTGTAATGAGTCATAGTAGTGATTAATTCATTCTTTCAACCTTATAGCAGAAAAATGACAACCTACACAAAAAACAAACAAACATACACAAAATAGCGCAAAGATGTGCAAAGAAAATGTATACGCTCTAAATATGGACCCCAAAAATTTATTTTTTCAGCTTTCCTATATGGGATGATAAGATAATATAGTAATTATTGCCATAGTTATTCTTGTTAAGGGGAGCTCACTAGACTCACTTTTACTTAGAAAAGTAAGCATTTACAGTACTTAAGTAGTACTTATCTTGGAGTCTTTATTTGCTCTCAATGATTTGGGAAAAATATCTAACTGCAATTTCTCTAACAAGCATTGCAATTACATTTAGGTTTAGGTGTGTGCAAAAATACTGAAATATCAATATATTGTATCGTTTAATGTGATGATACAATATTGATATCATGGGCTGTTGTATCGATTATCGCCAGAAGTATTTTTTGGTATATTTTATTGAATTATTTTGTAACAGCGCTACAGTTTTCTTGCTTTTCATTTATACAGCACATTTGACATTTTCACTGTTTCGAGGATTAAAATAGGTGTTTCAGATTAATTTTGCATAAGAAGCGGTTTAACAAAGCCTAATGTCACAGCCATGATTTAGCCTTTATTTTTTATTGAACATATCAAATATCAAATCGATTTGAAATATATCATATCAAATAAAAAATGCACTGTACTGAGATTTGTATCGTATCGTGGCCTATGTATCTTGGTATGTGTCGTATCGGCAACTTCTTAATGATACCCAGCCCTAGTTAGGCCTGCAATTTATGTTTTGATAATGAGATTGCTTTCAAAGTTCACATTAGAAATGCGTCCAGAATAATTGACAAATAGATTACAAGAATCACATGTATATCAGAAAATGTTGGTATATTCTGTTCGATTTCAATTAATCTTGAAGCCCCAATCTTTCCTCTTGTGAAAGAAAGCAGTAGTGAAAAATGTATTATAGGTAAAGTCAATTCAAACATTTCCATTCTCCAGTGAAATCAGCACAGTTCTTTATTACATTGTTCGTAGTTATCAAAATCTATGTGAGAGGTAAAAGTACTTACTTGATTATTTGTATGTGATTTCTTTCCTCCTGTATTTTTACTTAAGTAACAAAATTAAGTACTCATTCCAACACTGAAAGATGATGCTTCAGATTCCAAGGCTGGACACTGTTTAAATTGAAGTCTTAGGTTAGGTTGTCCTATGGCATTTGGTTTAGAGTTTTACATAAATTTAAGCTTTATTTTTGCTATTTCTTTTGCTCTGTGACAACTGTGGTTATCTGCATAGGATTATCAGGGGTGTTTGCCAGATATCATTTTCACTTCGTCATCAACAGTCACTCTGATTGGACTCAGAACACAGCACTGCAGGCTACAACACAAGACTTTGATGTTCTTTCATTTTAACACGCTCTATGTTCAGATAACTCTTTCAGGTCACACTCTCATTGTTCCCAGGCATTTCTAATTCAGGTGATCGGGCCTATTGTTTTTTGAAATGTGCTTTTTCTGTTTGTCTTTGTAATTGTTCCAGTGTTGCCATATGTGGAGAGACACTTTTTGGATATCCCCTCCAGGGCTTTTGAACATGAATTTGAAACTCAGAATTGTTTTGGCTGGAATTCACACATGAATCTGGCAATGGGTGTGATTTTTTTGGCAGCAAATCAAAGGTTGAAGTTTGAAAGTTGTTTAGGCCATTTTACGCTATAAGAAATTTTAACAACTTTTGCCCAAATATATAAAGTATAATATCACTATACTACTAAGTACTATATTGACTTATTATTCAATACATGACAGATGAAGCAATATTTTGGGGATCAGTATTTTTAGTGAGTTTTTTTTTTTTTTGTACTAGTGGGAAGGTTTTTCTTATTTTTCAGTACTATGATGATATTTATATGGTTCGCCTGTACTCAGCCTCATGTTTTACTATCTGTAGTTTTGTGTATTTTCTCATGTCGCCATGTGTTCCAATTTTTGTAACACTTAGAATACTTTTTATGGTTTGGTTTCATTATCATATTATATTATTATATTATCATCTATATTTACTTAAGCAATATATCGCACATCAAAATTTGTTATTGTGATTCATGACAGGCCTGTTGTATGAATATATTCCAACCTATTTAGTCCTATTAGGCTTATGTTTTCTCATGCATTTCTTTGTCGAAATTAACCACAATTGAGGCTTACTCTGTTCAAACCTGCATTACGTAGAAAAGAGTGATCACAGTAATATTTCTAAATGTTGTGACTAATGACATGTCGGATTGTCAGGACTCTATATGAATTCCTTATTTATTGTTACATGTTTATGTCATTGTACTGTGCACCTTTTCTAGAGCAGGGTCTGCCATCTGCTTGGCTTCAATAGAAGGGTTCCACAGTATGGCATTAAATTTATCTATCTCTATAAAGAAATTATGTGACACCATCAGGCCAAGTTACAGATCAGATCTGTGAAAAATCAAAACTGACATGCTTTTCAAGGTATTTCTGTGCAATAAAACACTGATAATGGCATCTTTTAAATCATATTTTTTTCCCTGTATGAAAAAATAACAACCTAAAACAAGTGTTAATAAGAAAAGTGCTGCCTGTGAGAGGATGTTGAGTGTATAAATGGGAAGGGGCCAAAGTAATGACTAAACAGTGGGATAGTTTTGGTTCTTCATGTCAGCAAGTGTATAAATGTGTGTTCATGTGTCATTTCTATAAATGTTACTATACTCTTTTTAATTTTATTTTTTGTTCACTACTACTACTACTACTACTACTACTACTACTACTACTACTACTACTACTACTACTACTACCACTACCACTACCACTACCACTAATACTAATACTAATACTCGGAATACAAATAAATAACATAAAGAAGTGATCATCCACAAGATCTGATCAAACAAATCAAATGTGGAGGATGTTAGTTTTACTTTTTATTAATGCATTATTTCATGCTATCAATTTTTTACCCTACATTTTTTCCTAAAACTTAATTTCAAGTTACTCCAAGCCCTCCTGCCCCCTTCTTCTCCCTCACTTTCTGCACATCAGCTCTGTGCCGTGTGTAAGCAGGTTGCCGTAACATTAGAGAGGCCATGCCATTTGATTTGGAGGTAATCTTCTGCTAAATCCCTACTGCAAATTCTCAAATATTCCCCTGTCCCTTTGCTAAGGCCATGCAGCAGTGGAGCCTACTTCAGCTCTTCTCGTGACGGCACATGTGTGTAGTACGAACAGTGTGTGAGGAATTAGAGCGACTTAATGTCACTGTCCCAAACTGAGGTGCAGTTAATCTGAGAGCTGAGGTTGGAGGGAGAATAATATGATTTTCTGTGCAACTTGGTGTGTCATCTCTTCCATTTAAGCTCTTAAAATCTTGGTTGTATTTCCCTGCTTTGGCCAATTGCTTGATTTAGATTAAAAGTTATAGTAATTCACAAATGTTGAAGTACAGTACATGTAAAATTACAAGTTACAGTTGCCTATGGAATGAACTGAAACTGAATAGTTCCATATCGTCAATGATCAACAGTTTTTTTTGTTTTTTTTTGAGAAGTCTATGTTTAACCCTTCGTCCGTAAAAGTGTATTCGGAGAAGAGTAGACTTTGGAGAAATATATTACAAAATATATTACAAAAATTTCTATAAGGATTTATAAGGGGAAAAAAAACTTGAAAAATGTGATCTACAGTAGACTGATGTGAGTAAAATATATTGTGTTTCACTTTTTGTCTTGCTTCTTATGTCAGATGCACATTGTATTTTCAATATTAGTGATGTCATTTGAATGTTTCATTTTGTGTTTCAGAAATACAAAGAGTTTGAGCAGTCAGTGCGTGTGGAGGAGATCGATGGACTGCGCCTGGTCAAGCAACTGGCTCAAAACATGGAAGAGATGTTCCATAAGAAAGCACAGGCAATGAAGGTACATAATATTACTGTGTCTACTAAACAACAAAATAACCATACTGTCGCACTATTACCATAATATTATGCAAGCATTTAGCATCTGTATATAAAACTAGAATGTGTTTGTGAAAAGCCATGAAGATTTCCATAAAAGCTGCCATCACTATGCAAGTCATCTCTCTGTATTGACCTTATTGGATGACTCTGCTGTAGTGTCATTTAGCTGCAGTGAAACCAGACACCTGCATGTATGTGAGAGGAGAGGGCATCCATAAAGAACAGGCCATCTGGGGACAAAGCATTTCTGAGTTATTGCAATTCTGGTTTACTAATTCATCACGCATGGCAGGACTGACCTGAAAGGAATGATTGATTATGAGACACACAAATGGACACAGGTTTGATTATAGACTTCATCTTCAGACTGCGAACATGATGATCTGAGGACATACTGGGACATATAGAGATCCTCAGTCTTTCCATCTCCACAAAATTAATATCCCGACTGTTATCTACAGAAATGATCAGAGCCGTCACTCCTGGTGTAAGACATACTGCGTCTGCATCTCGGTGCAGGATATGTCCTGGAAGCACTGCCGCTCGGCTCCAGGTGATAGATCCTATCAGAACAACATGATGCTGCAACAAAATTGGATTTTTCTCACACACTCAGTTCCAGGGATAGACCAAAAGGAAGAGGAAAGAGATGGAGACATGGGTATTCTGACATCCCATTTTTATGTTTGGGTCTATGTGGAATGGCTCTGAGCTAATACAACACCATCATTTAAAAAAAAAACAATACTCCCTTCTCATTATACGTATGTTTATCTAATTTCATATAATAATTTCATATAATAATTCTCTTTAGTTCCTGTAATGTCTTTTGTCTAAACTTTAATAACATCAGTTGCATTAGCCCTCCTGTAGTTGTCCCATAAAGTATCTTAAGCCCCTTGAGATCTTCTAACTTGGTTAGCTAATGGCTTCGCCATAGGCACTCCAGATGAGGGCTGTGCTCTAATTTTACCGCTGTATGGGGTATAACACAGCAGTGGCTGGTGAGGAGATTCTCCTGTTATGATCAAAAAGCATCATTTATGGCCTTTTTAGGCTTATCATGTACATCCATTTAAGGATTATAATGTATATGTATATCCTTTGGAATGTTGGGAAACAGCTGATGGTAATTTGCACTCTGTAACCTCAGATGACACTTTACTTTTACCCTTTTATTCAATCATATCAATCTATGAACTGATTATTCACAAATACTCTGAGGATTGTCTATCACTATTTAATTACCAGCTCTAATTAATTTATTTTTACTTTACTACTTTACTTATTTTACTTCTTGTTAATGTGCATGTTGATCTGATTTCTACTCTGCTCATCTGTACTTGATGCAACCCCATTTATTCCGATTTGGCACTATACAGACACTAAGTTGTGGAGTCTGGCTTCTGTGGTTAGATTTAGTAATTTTGTTTCTTACTTAGGAGACATTATAAGTAAGAGAGATTGAAGTATTCTGGTGGATTGTTCGCCATCTGCTCATCTCCATGGAGATGTTATTGCTTATCCTGTTTTGTTACACAGTCTGGCATTATACTTTTTTATTCTCCATGGAGACAGGCGAAGTTACAGGTCAGTAAGGATGCATATTTAAGGTAAAATAAAGTATTATATAAAGATCAGTAAAAACACACATAGGCTTATGTCATACTATAGAGCAATCCAGCAAAATAATATAGAAACAAGCAGATGGTGGGCTCCTCCAGAAAAGTTTGAATGCCCTTTTGACCATTTATTTAATTTGATATTTTCTGAGTGAGTGAAGATACTGAACTCATATGTCAGATGCCCTTTCAGCTACACATATGTCATATGCCCTTCCAACTGCATGCTTTTGTTTATTCATGGTCAGATTGATGCAAACATGACAGTTTTTTAGCTGAACTTCATTTATTAACAATCCACTTAATAATTCACATAATAATTATCCACATAAAAATTACCCATATATCTAGAAGACCTTTAGTTATTTCCAACTCTACCTTTTTTTCCACAAACCAACTTTGATTTGCCTGGATTACCACATACACATGTTTATCCTTTTGTCCTGTGTCTGCCCCTTCCATCCCTCTGCTGTGGAGCCTGCTCTTCTCCATTCAGTATTTGCGCTCTCTCTCTCTCTAACCCCCCACCTCCCCATACCCTCTCTCTTCCCTCTTTCTCCTTCTCTCTCTCTTTTTCTCTCTCCCTGCCTCTCTCTCTCCGTCCATCCGTCAGTGCTGCAGTTTTATCGCTCGTCTCCTCCTCGATTGGCCCCGTCTTTATCGCTCACTGCCACCTGCTGAGACACACAGTTCCACAGTGTATGCTTGTGTTAGCTCATGTCAGTGTGGGTTAGATGAGAGATACAGAGTTACAATGAAAAGTAAATACATGAAAATAAAGGTTATGGCGGAGAAATTGTTTGCCCGTCAGAATAAATGGTTGAAGCCTGAAAGTTCATTTCCATGCAAAACAAAAGATAAGAGTAGATCAACTTCACACATATTACAATGTTCCAATGTTTAATGCGGCTGGTAGTGGGTAAAATTAAGGCTGGGTGATATTGTGTTATATACGATTTTTGATTTAATCAATGTGTGTATTTTTAAAACTTTCTTCTTCTTATATCTTAGCTGCTTCTACTGATAGAGGACTGGCGGTAAACCTCTGAGTTAAAATGGTCCCAATATTGTCATTATTGAAATTTTTGATGTATCTGATACGGTTTCAAAATATCAGTTTAGTCTCATTTTGGTCTATAAATTGGTGTTTTGTTTTGTTTTTTACTGCCCAATATTCATCTCAATCACCAATCACATCCTAATATTGAATATTGAACTTACAAAGCTGTTCTGTAGTTACTTGAAATACTAATGATAAATAAGTTTTTTTACCATACAAATACTCAAAGCCAAAATATCAACATTGGTTTTGGAACAAAAAAGCTGCATCTGTGCATTCCTATTAGAAATAACTTAAACTCAGTCTTGATTCATATTTGATGATTTGCACAGCATATCAAATTAAAGATTACCATATTTTCCAATTATGCTTTGCTTTCTGCACTTTATTAGACTTCATATCGTTTTACTACAATAACATGTATAGACATAACTATGAACTATGGAGATTTTTGGGACACTACATCACTCTGAAGTATTTATTCATTTTAACAATAATATTGCAACTTCATTTATTCATTCATTCTAGAGGGGTACTCCTTTTGATAACTGGCTGTGCTCCATCCATCACATAGTGCTTTGGATATTATCACTGTTTTGCAGCATGCTTCTCTCCTCTCTCGCCCTCTCTTCTGATATGAGTTTTGTTTCATGCTGTGAGTGAATGGGAGAAAACAGCACATGCTTAAAGACACAGTGAACATGTTGTTATCTGAGTGGAAAAAGCCCATGGCTATTATAATGCCCCCTTTGAAGTCAAGCACTGCTGTTTCTGGTGACAAATCCATTTCAAAGCCGACTGTAGTCTCTGTGTCTTTGCTATAATAACGCACTGGGCTGTACCTGCTCATATCATTTACCTGTGGCAGCTCCTCACAGTATTGCGCCATTATCAGTGGAGAGAAAGTTATCAGTCATACACAAAGTTTTTCTCATATTCAAATCCGCAGGAGACAGACTCTGGAGACAATGGCAAATTTATGTTTTTGAAACTCCTGTAAATTGCTGATGTTGCTATTGTTGTTGTTTTTTAGTTTTTAATGTGGTTAACACTGCTCTTCTTGACAAAACATATTTGTAGTTTTTTTCCTTAATGTTTGCTTGAAAAATCCTGCATATTTCAGGCTGTTGAACACACCTCCCACCACTTAATGTTATTTGGTGTTAATCCATAAAGCTCCTACTGCGAGGATTTTGGTGATATGATCCTAGATGCAGCTTTTATTAATACTTGTTAGGCCTGAGCACCAGAAGCTGGCGAAGGGCCTATTAGTATTGCAAAGCAATGCAATGCTAAGAGTAGCTAGAAAGTGAACTGACGTGAATCGAGTTGCCTATAGTGACCATTGACCCTTGCTATGGCGTAGGAGTGTGCCAGAGCTTTCCGAAAATCTATAGTTTAATATACAGAAAAAAGCTGAATATTGTTCTCATGTCAGAAAGTTTTCCTCCTAACCACCCCCCCATTTTTCACCCAATGAACAATGGTGAAAACTACAGTGAAACTAACCAGCTGGACAGGCTTGTATTTACCGTGTGTATAGGCTGATCATGGCAGAAACGAGGATTTCAAAAATTTATTGCAAAACACAAATTAACAGGCTTTCTGGACCTGGACTCTTTCAAACAATACATAACTGGCCCAGGAGCACACTGTGCTCATGGTAAATGCACAAATACAACAATAGATGCATGCTGTCTTTGTATTTTGATGAAGATGCTTGCACTCACATTGAGTGTTGAAAGATAAACTGGTCTCTATTTTCTGAAATCTACACATGCAGGACATGCTGCTCCATACAGTGTAGTGTGGCCGTCCTCATTTACTTTAATGCATTCAAAAAAATATTTGTACAAAAGTTGCAGTTTTTACTCTCGCGCAAGGTGAAATGCGGGTGCACTGTGGCCAGGCTCTTAGGGCACTGGAACGATGCAAAAAAAATTGCACGTAGAATCATGAAATTTCACACAGAAGTAGATCATGAGAAGACAAGTAAAGAATATTATTACGCCAACGCCGTCTGCGCCACCAGGGTTAAGCAATATTATAGTCAACTTTGCAAAGCATTTTGTGTAAACATCATACTTTTACGAACTCCTCCTATGGTATTCACACGCTTTAATCTGGTTCATATTATCTCAAAGGGTGGGGTATCAAGTTATCAAAAATTTTGACTCGTCTTACTGTCTCTGTGCATCTATACAAATATTGTACTAATATAATATGCAACAGTGGCATTGGCATACACAAGGTTGCCGGTTGAGACTATATTTGTTT